AGGATGAGGCAGGTCATGTGTCTAAAACAAAACTCATGATCTTCCCTCTTCAGCTGGAATCCATACCTCCTCATTGCATGTCCGAAAGTCCTCTCAGATCCATCCACTTAAATTCTATCTCAGCCACCACTAACCTCATCAAAATCACCCCCACCTCCTCTAGACTACAGCAGTCTCCTATCTCAATTTCCTTGTGTACTCTTGCGCCCCTGATCCTTTCCAGAGTTGCCAGAAAAATCCTAAGGGTAAACAATTCTGTCACTCCCTGGCTTTTAACCCTCAGTGGCCTGCAAAGCTGAGCATGAAAACTAAACTTACCACAGCTTACAAAGCCCCATGAGAAGGTAATACTTCTGTCCTCCACTATCCTCTCTCCTATTGTGGCACCCAGTACCTTCTGGCAGAACCCCTGCCCTCTTGGTCAGACTTCCCACTGGGCATCAAATAACCCAGGACTGTTTATCTCTTGAGCACCAACAATGTACCATATACTTCTAGGGATAAAGCAACGAGAGGCTTTATCCTGTTTTCAAAGAGCTTACTGTCTGACCTGAGTGGGAGATCCTGGGAATAAGTAAGTTTCAGATTCTGACAGATGCCAAAAAAGTAATGAAGTCATTCTCACTACACCCTGTATACTCCTTCAGTTATCTCAGAACTTTTAATTTTATGTGTATTTGATTAAAGACAGTCTCCCCATAGCACAGTGCCCGAAAAAGAATATAGACAATAGTCTATGAGTGAATGAAGCTGGTGTCTACCCTAAGTGAGTAGGCTTATACCATTCACTTCCCCAGTACTCACTTTCCCAGTGGTGTTACTTTTGCGCTCTTGTAAGTGATGTGATGTACCCACTAGCTGTATTGAAGGGAAGTCACGGGCTGCTGATTATTTTCCGTATGTGGGGCTGAATCCGATCACTTTTTTTTTTTTTTTTTTTTTTTTTTTTTATGTTTAGAGGGAGAGAAAATCACAAGCAGGCTCCACGCTGTCAGCACAGAGCCTGATGTGAGACTCAATCTTACCAACTGAGGTTCAACCGACTGAACCATCCAGCGCCCTCCCCCGCTTTCAGCCGACTTTTCTCAAACACCTACTTGGTAGAGATACCTGTTATCGTTCAGAAATGCAAAATCCAGCGGCGGCGGGGGGGGGGGGGTCCTTACCCTTTCTCGCCTTTGTTGATAAATTTCTGAACTTCCTTCACCCCGCGCCGAATCTGCTTCTGCTTCACAGCTGCAACGACAGAAGAATCAGTGTGGGGGTCTCGGCCCACCACCCGCGCCACCACCGGCCACCGCGGCGGCTGCAGCACCTTTCTTGATGCATTTGTAGAGCTTCCGCGTGAGACGGCGAGAAGCCAGGGGCTGCGCGATGGGGTTCAGATTCACTAGCAGCTCGTGGTAAGTGCGCTCCCCGAGGCAAGCCTCCGCCTGAGCCTCCGGCCCGTCTGGATCTGCCTTTATTTTGGTCATCGCAGTAGCAGCTGCTGCAACCGAGCCCGCAGCAGGCGAATCCACGCGGCCCGAGCCTCAGGAATCACTTCCGGGTCACCCCGTTCTGCGTAAGCCTGTCATACACCCCAGCCAATCGGGAAATGAAGTCTCTGACTCAGACCAATCGTTGACACTCAGACCCTTAAATACAGGCCAAACGGGGCGGAGTCTCGGTCGGAGGGCGGAGCGGATAGGGGCCGGGCGAGGGCGGGAAGTGACTAGGGCACTGGCTCCCGCTGGTCTGAGAGTCCGCCTCACCGGTACTGGGAGCGGCGAAGGAGGCAGTACCTGCGGGGGCGAAACCAGGTCTCAGGACTGGACCCTTCCTTGAGGGGCGGGGTCTGCGGCCGAGCGGAAGAATGGTGAATCCAAACCGCGGTAGAATCGGATCGTCAAATGGTCCTGGGCGAAGTGCCGCCGGTGCCGAGGTTGAGGTAAAGCTTCACGCTGCCAAGGGCCTCTTCCGTTCTCACACAGTTTCTCACACTCTTTGTGGCCCCACTCACACTGAGCGCCTGTCTTCCCGCAGGGATCTGCTCAAATGTTACCCACGGGAGAGGTTCCCCTGCCACGCCCCCTGCCACCCCATCTAAAACTGCAGTCCCCACCCACTCCCACCGGCGCCCCCGACCCCTTTGTTTTCCTCCCAGTTCCTACTGCTGCCAGGCGTGCCGCACAATCCCCCGGCCTCGTGGAGATGCCCGAGTGGAGAGGGGGAGGAGAACGTGAGCGTCCCCGGGAACCCTGGGGCTGAGCCTTCGGGGCGCGGTGGGGGAGGTCTGCTAGTGGGCGCCCGCGCTGCAGGTGTCTGTAGAGCTTTGGTGGACGGTGACGCTGGGGCGGCGAGCTGGCCCAGACTAGGGTGGATCTTTTATCTCCAATTTCTTCCACCGTGTCCCGGAACACTGGATGGATATGAATTAGATCATTGCTACAAATTACTTGCCTTGAATCCTACGATGGTAGGCCTGACATTTTTGTGGTGGCGGAATAGGCCAGTAAGTGGAACTTTTTTTTTTTTTTAATTTTTAAAGTTTATCTAATTTTGGGGGGGGGTTAATCTCTACATCGAAAATGGGGCTCGAACTCAGAACCCTGAGATCAGGAGTCGCACGTTCTTCCGACTCAGCCAGCCAGGTGCCCCAGTAGTTGGAGCTTAAAAGTATGCAGGTGGGAAAAAAACAAAAACAAAAACGGAATACAGGTGGCTGTGGGAGCGCTGCTTAGTTAAGCCAATTTAAAAATTGAACTTTTAATCCTGTGACCAAGTGCAAAGTCATTCAATAAAAAACGAGTCGGTTGTTTACATTTAGCTTTTTTTTTTAGATTTTAAAATTTTATTTAATTTTATTATTTTTTGTTAATGCGTATTTATTTTTGAGAGAGAGAGAGAGAGAGAGCAAGGGGGGGGGGGGGGCAGAACGGCACTGAGCTGGCAGCGGTGAGCCCAACATGGGGCCCAAACCCACGAACCACCACCAGATCATGACCTGAGCTTAACAACTGAGCCACCCAGGTGCCCCTTCACTTAGCATTTAGCATTTAGATAAGAAAAATTAGGATGCAATCCATCCTACGCTTAGACCCCAAATAGTTTTCACAAATAGAAATGTCTATCAACTGAACAATGAAAATACATTATATAAGCAATAAAAAATAACATGAAAGTATACAAAATTTGTATGCACAACATAACAAGAAGATGTTTTCATTTTGGAATTCTCAAGAAAAGATAACCCCTTCCAGAGCTTTGACACTGGTAGTTACTTTCCTGCCTAGGACTTTGCTGTACCATTTCCCACCACTCCCCACACTCCCTTACACCTCCCTACACCTCTCTATACCCCCTTACACTCCCGTAGCCCACCCCCTCCCCATAGGTCCTGTAGTAGCAGTTTTGGCGGTCCCAGGGAAGTGCGTCCTAAAACTGTGAGAGCCCCCCTGTGGGCTTCCTGAACACATAACTGGCAGGGCTCTAAAGGGTGCTTTTTTTTTTTTTTCTTTTCTTTAATATTTATTTTTGAGAGAGAGAAAGCAGAGGGCACACGGGCAAGCAGGGAAGGGGCAGAGAGAGAAGGGGACAGAGGGTCTGATCCGAAGTGGGCTCTGTGCTGACAGCAGAGAGCTCAATGTGGGGCTTGAACTCATCAACCGTGAGATCATGATCTGAACTGAAGTTGGATGCTTAACCAACTGAGCCGACAACTGAGCCACCCAGGCGCCCCTGAAGGGTGCTTTTCTATTCCAGCTTCTGAGTGGTGTTCCTGTGAATGTTTTCAGCCTTGTTGGACTGATGACAATGTGTCAGAGTCACGAGGGGAAGAGGCACTGCTAGATGTGTGCATGCGGCAGGATGAACTCTGTCCAGCAGAGAATTTCATCCCCGGGAAACCCAATCTGAGTAAATGTGCCTAATTGACCTTACCAAGGTCTCAGTTGTGAAGGCCTCTCCACGATCATAAGGCAGGAGGAAGGAAGTGAACATTTATGTGCCCAGCACACTACATGGAGTATTTCCTCCCTTGCTCACAAAGAATGCCTTTATTATGCACAATTTATGGAGGCTCATAGGGTAAATAGCTCGGTCGAGCTCATACAAAGCTGGATTTCAATCCAGGTCCACTTGTCTGGAAGCCCACACTCTGCTTGGACTCTGTGATACATTCTCTGTCATACAACTACGTCATGTATTTTTATTTATTTCTTTTTTATTTTTTATATAAATTTCTTTATTTTGAGAGTGTATGTGTGTATACATGAGCATGCATGAGCTCATGTGAGCAGGAGAGGGGCAGAGAGAGAGAGAGAGAGAGAGAGAATCACAAGCAGGCTCTGCGCTGGCAGTGTTAGCCCGATATGGGGCTTGAACTCACCAACCGTGAGACCATGACCTGAGCTGAGACCAAGAGTGGGATGCTTAACTGAGCCACCCAGGTGCCCCCTACACCATGTATTTTTAAAACCAGGCTCAGACCTCTGTGCCAAATCTGAAGTGGCTTGTGTGACTTTACTGATTTTGTTCTAATGGCTATTTGAGCTCACTTGAAGCAGTATAGACTGGATGAGACCATAATAGCTTAATGGGTGTTAGATCAGGGGTCTGAAGGACAAGTGACCTTGGGCAATTCATTTAACCTCTCTTGAGGCTTTAGCACCTTGTCTGTAAAGTGAGAAAGTTGGACCCAGATGGTCTAAGGTCCCATCTTTTGAAAAGATGGGGAGGATGATTTTTTTTTAATTGTGATAAAATTTATGTACCATATAGTTTGCCCATTTAAAGTGTACAAATCAGTGGTTTTAGTATATTTTAATGAGTTGTGCAGATATCACCACAATTTGAAGACATTTACATCCCCTCAATAAAAACCCCTGTACCCTCTGACCCCCTCATTCTCTCCAGCCCTAAGCAACCCCTAATTTACTTTCTGTTCCTATAGATTTCCCTGTTCTGGACATTCCATCAAAATGGAATCATATAGCATGTGACGTTTTGTGTCTGGTTTCTTTCACTTAGCATAATGTTTTCTAGGTTTATCCATGTTGTAGCAGGTATCAGCATGTAGGAATATTATCACTTAACATTCCATTGTATTCTGCATTTTATCCATTTATCAGCCAATGGATGATTGGATCCTTTCTACCTTTTGACTGTTGTGAATAGTGCTGCTATGAACAATCATGTGCAAGTTTTCGTGTAGGCATATGTCTTCAGTCCTCATGGGTATACACCTAGAACTAGAAATCTTGGGTCTATGTTTAACTTTTTGGGGAATTGTCAAGCTGTTCACCAAAGTGGCTGCACCATTTTATATTCCTAGCATCAATGTACAAGGGTTCCAATTTCCCCACATTCTTTTTTGTTTTTTAAAGTTTATTTGTTTTGAGAGAGAGAGTATGCGCATGCAGGAGTGGGAGAGGGGCAGAGAGAGAGGGAGAGAGGGAGGGATCCTAAACAGTCTTCACACTACCAGTGCAGAGCCTGAATTGGGGCTCGAATTCACGAACTGTGAGACCATGACCTGAGCCAAAATCAAAGATGGGTAGCTTAACCGATGGAGCCACCTAGGCGCCCCAAGTATTCACTGTTAAGTTTTTTGGGTATATATGCGTACCTATGTTTGTTTACATACATTAAATAATAGAAAATGGAGGCACCTGGCTGGCTCAGTCAGTAGAACATAGGACTTTTGATCTAAGGGTTGTGAGTTTGAGCCCTGTGTTGGATATAGAGTTTACTTCGAAAAAAAAAAAATAAATAAATTAAATAAATAAATAAATAAATAAATAAAAGGGTACCTGGCTATTTCAGTCGTGGAGCATGAAACTCTTGATGTTGGGGTTGTGGGTTTGAGCCGCATGTTGGGTGTAGAGATTACTTAAAAATAAAGTCTGAAAAATTTTTTTTTTCAATGTTTTATTTTTATTTTTGGGACAGAGAGAGACAGAGCATGAATGGGGGAGGGGCAGAGAGAGTGGGAGACACAGAATCGGAAACAGGCTCCAGGCTCCGAGCCATCAGCCCAGAGCCTGACGCGGGGCTCGAACTCACGGACCGCGAGATCGTGACCTGGCTGAAGTCGGACGCTTAACCGACTGCGCCACCCAGGCGCCCCCAAAGTCTGAAAATTTTTAAAAAATTTCATAATAAAATGAATTCTATTTAAAAAATAATATAATGTACTGTTCTGGCAATTTATTTCCCCTTATCAACATATCATGGGAAATGTTTCTATTTCTACCATAGAGATAAATCTTAATTCTTCTAAGATCTTCAGCACATTGCATTGTGCGGGTTTCCATAGTTTATTTAAGTAGCCCCTGCTAATGGATTTTAGTTTGTTTTTAGTGTTTTTACTATTTTGAGTAAGTTTGCAATGAATATTCTATCTTTGCTACTTTTGTGAGTCTATCCAGGATAAATTCCTAACATTTATAATTTTGATATCTGCAGTATTATCAGGTGATCCTCTAAAGAGGTACAATTTATTGGGGCACCTGGGTGCCTCAGCTGGTTGAGCATTTGACTTCGGCTCAGGTCATGATCTCGCAGTTCGTGGATTCAAGTGATGGCTCGGAGCCTGGAGTCTGCTTTGGATTCTGTGTCTCCCTCTCTCTGCCCCTCCCCTGCTCATTCTCTCTCTCTCTCTCTCTCTCTCTCTCTCAAGAATAAATAAACTTAAAAAAAATTAAAACCAGTCTTCTGGAGGAGCAGTTCCAGCAGGGCAAGCTTCTTGCATGCATCACTTCAAGACCAGGCCAGTGTGGCCAAGCAGATGGCTATGTGCTGGAGGGCAAGGAGCTCGAGTTCTATCTGAGGAAAATCAAAGCCTGGAAAGTCAGGTAATAAAAGGTGTTTATCCTGCCCTGTTAAAAAAAAAAAAAAAAGAGGTACAATTTACAATTGTTCTGAATAGCGTCTCACCAACACTTGCCAAGACTGGGCTTTAGCGACTTTTTCTTTGTTTATGTTTGTTTATTTTTGAGAAAGAGAGCGTGAGCGGGGAAGGGGCAGAGAGAGAGGGAGACAGAATCTGAAGCAGGCTCCAGATTCTGAGCTGTCAGCACAGAGCCCCATGCGGAACTTGATCTCATGAGCCACTAGATCATGACCTGAACCCAAGTTGGCTGCTTAACTGACTGAGCCACCCAGGAGCCCCTTTTAGCAACTTTTTTTTTTTTTTAATTTTTTTTTCAACGTTTATTTATTTATTTTTGGGACAGAGAGAGACAGAGCATGAATGGGGGAGGGGCAGAGAGAGAGGGAGACACAGAATCGGAAACAGGCTCCAGGCTCCGAGCCATCAGCCCAAGCCTGACGCGGGGCTCGAACTCACGGACCGCGAGATCGTGACCTGGCTGAAGTCGGACGCTTAACCGACTGCGCCACCCAGGCGCCCCTAGCAACTTTTTTTTAGAGGGAAGAAAGTTGGTGATGATCCAGTAGGGACAAATAGTATCTTGTTTTCATTTACATTGATTTAGTTCTTGGGGAAGTTAGATATTATTTTTTTAAAGATTTTATTTTCAGGTAATGTCAGACACCCAACGTGGGGCTTGAACCCACAACCCCAAGATCAAGAGTCGCACACTCTGCCAACTGATTCAGCCAGGTGCCTCTATATTTCATGTTTTTACAGCTCATTTATGTTCTATTCTTGTCCAGTTTTTCTATATGGTGATCTCTTCCCGCTGTAGAAGAGCTTTTAGTACTTTAAGGCAAATGTCCTAGTGCTTTTGTGGTTTCACAGTTTGTATGAAAATGTTTGATCCATCAGGTTTAATGTGAGTGTTAGGAGCAAGGCTGGGCTCCAGCTTGACTTTCTTCCAGCTGGCTAAGCCATTGTCCTTCTGTCATTTATTGAATTCTTTATTGAGCCATGCATTCACTTAAAATACCCAAAAATAAATAAACCTTAAAAATTTTTTGAGGAGTGTTTGAGTGGCTTAATTAAGTGTCTGACCGCCTCAGGTCATGATCTCATGGTTTGTGAGTTCGAGCGCCATGTCAGGCTCTGTGCTGACAGCTCAGAGCCTGGAATCTGCTTTAGATTCTGTGTCTCCCTCTCTCTGCCCCTACCACACTTGTACTCTGTCTCTCTCTCAAAAATAAACAAACATTAAAAAATAAAATACCTCTGTTGGGGAGCACCTAGGTGGCTCAGTCAGTTGAGCATCCGACTCTTGGTTTTGCCTCAGTTCATGATCTCACAGTTTTGTGGGTTCGAGCCCCAAGTCTGGCTCTGCACTGGCATGGAGCAGAGCCTGCTTAGGATTCTCTTTCCCTCCCTCTCTCTCTGCCCCTCCCCTGCTTGTGCTGCCTCTCTCTCTCCAAATGAATGAATGAATGAATGAATGAATGAATAAATAAATAAATAAATAAACAAACAACCTTAATAAAATAAAATGCCTCTGTCATATTCTAGATGCTTATATGTATTTGGGCAGTAGTAAACTGCTTTGATGGCTATAGTGTTTGTTAGCTTGTTTTTGTTTTTGAACCACTTTTTAGATCAGTTTACTGATCTAAACCAATCCTAGGGAGAGACAGGATACCTGGAGAGAGGAGGGGTCTGAGAGTCAAACAGGTCAGGATTTGAATCCCAGCCATAAGGTTTTATCAGCTTTTTACCCCCTGGGCAAATTGTTTAACTTTAGGAGTTCCTGTTTTTTTGGTCTTTCAAATCAGATGAGGATTGAAGGAGATCCTGCCAGGAAAGCCCCCAGGCTGCCCTTCTGCTGCTGGTGGCATGAAGGTTCCCTCCCGGGGCCTGAGCTTTAGAGGGCCCGGGTGAGGGGTGAAGAATCTGGGAGCCCGAGGCCTGGAGGTCGGTTCCCCACCCCCAACCCTCCAGGTACAGGAATTCTATGCTCAGTTGGTGCGGAGTCCATTAGCAGGGCCTGCGTAGCCCTCTCCCCCAGTCTGCTCTTCAGAGGGAAGGCCATCCCTGTAGGTCTGAAGGGCGGCCAAGGTGTGGGTCGGTAGGTTGTGGACAGAGTGTGAACATTTGGCTTGGGGCGTCCACACATGTGCAAGTGGGTCCCTCACTGTCAGAACAGAGAGGCGTGGGTAGGAATAGAAGAGGGGGGATCGAGAGCTCCATTTGTACTCTTGCCCTGAACCTCTCCAATGTGAGAGGTGGGCGTGCTTCTTTTCTTCTTTCTCTCTCTCTTTTTAAAAATTTTTTATTTTTTGAGAGAGAGAAAGAGCAAGCTTGTGAGCAGGGGAGAGGGGCAGAGAGAGAGAGAGAGAGAATCCTAAGAAAGCTCCACACTTAGCTTGGAGCCCGCCACGGGGCTCGATTCCATGACCCTGGGATCATGACCTTGTAAGGGTTAAATTGTAGTAATAGGGCTTAACACTTAGCTTGAAAAATAACAGCTTTGTGTTGACACTGAAGGTGAAGAGATAACAGTCTTGCTTTACTCTTGGCCTTATACTCTTGTAAATTAGGCTTCACCAATTAAGGAAACAAAAGTTCAAAGAAAAGAGCATCAGAGGCAGGGTCAAGGAGATCCACTAGTTGCAACTTAGAGGCAGAAAGTCTAAAATAAACACCTCATTAGGCAACTGTTTCTAACGCATCTGGAAACTGTTTCTAACTCATCTGGAAACTGTTTCTTTGTTCTGTTCCCAGGTGATGATAAAACAATGTGATCGGCTATAAAAACTCTGTACCCCCCGCTGTTCGAGGCTGCACTCTTACCAAGAGTGTTGGTCCCGATCGGTCCGCCTTGCCTCTCATTGTAATAAACTTTGTTGTGACTGTCACTGGTGCCCGTAGCATTCTGTTTCAGAAGTCGTGTGGATGCAACAACCTGAGCTGAAATCAAGATTTGGACACTCAAGCTCAATGGACTGAGCCATCCAGGTACCCCTCTCCTTTCTCTCTTGATGACAGATTGCAAGCAGGGGGTGGGGCTGGGGGGAGTGGCTGGGAGTGGGATGTACTCATTTGTTCAACCAGCAGAGACTGGGAACTGACTGGATGTATTAGTTTCCTAGGGCTGCCCTAATAAAATACCACAAACTGGGTGGCTGAAAACAGCACAACTTTGTGGTCTCACAATTCTAGAGATTAGAAATCTGAAATCAAAGTATCAGCAGGGGCATGTTTTCTCTGAAGATTCCAGGGGAACATCTATTCCATGCTTTTCTCCTAACTTCTGGAATGGCCCCCAGTCCCTGGTGTTCCTTGGCTTGTAGGCACATCACTCCCATCCCTCCCTCCGTCCTCACATGCCTTTCCTTCTGTGCACCTGTGTTGACACGATATTTTCCTCTTCTTTTTAAAAAAATTTTTATGTTCATTTTATTTTTGAGAGAGAGAGAGAGACCTAGACAGAGTGGGAGTGGGGGAGGGGCAGAGAGAGAGGGAGACACAGAATCCGAAGCAGGTTCCAGGCTCTGAGCTGTCAGCACAGAGCCCGATGTGGGGCTCGAACCCACAAACCTTGAGATCATGACCCGAGCTGAAGTTGGTGCTGAACTGACTGAGCCACGCCAGTGCCCCAATATTTTCCTCTTCTGAGAAAGGCACCGGTCCTTGGATCAGGACCCACTAATGATCTCATCTTACCTTGATTGCATCTGCAAAGACCCTATTTCTAAATGAGATCATGTGTACAAGTACCAGGGGTTAAGACTTGAATAGATCTTTTCGGGGACACAACTGAGCCCAGCACTGGGGGCTTATGCCTTAGCGGGGCATGCGCTGGAGGTCCATGTGCAGCCGAGGGATCAGGTGAGGTTGAGACAGCCCCCAGCCCCCAGCCCCATGGGCCATCTGGCTGGGTTGAGGTAGTGATGGGACTGGAGGGCTGGGCCTGGAGAGGCTCGAGTCACTAGGCAGCTTCTGACATAGGGCTTCAGCACTGACTCTCCCACTTTCGCAGCCAGTGACCTGGGGCAGGCAGTGACATGTGGCTCTGATTTCTGGCGGGGATATAATTAGAAGGGAGATCTGGACTTTGGGAAACCAAAGGGACCCTGGGGACCACCTAATCCAGACATTTCGCAGATGGGAAGCCGAGGCAATTCCATAAGCCCCTATGCGTTCTGGTTGGGTGCTTGTGCAGGGGTGGGCAGCCCTGGGCTGTGGGCCGTGGCTCTCACTGGTGGTGGGGAAGGGGTGGCTGCTGAGTCCACCCTCAGCCCCTGAGCCCTAATCAGCCTGAAGCAGGTTCTATTCCGGGCCACCAACAAGAGTCTGAAGTGTGCTTTTCTCTTGGGGCGCCTGGGTGGCTCAGCCGGTTGAGCATCCAACTTCAGCTCAGGCCGAAATCTCATGGTTGTTGAGTTAGAGCTCCACATCGGGCTTGCTGCTGTCAGCACAGAGCCCGCTTCGGATCTTCTGTGCCCCCTCTCTCTCTGCCGTTTCCTCACATGCGCTCTCTCTCTCTCAAAAATAAGTAAATCTTTAAGAAAAAAAAAAGTGTGCTTTTCCCAGATGGGTATTTTGGTCTGAAGCTGCTTGGAGGAAGAGGTGGGTTGGGGGGAGGGGGTGTTGTCCTGTTTCAGTTCTGACTCTCACTTCCACCCTCCTGGTGCCTGTGGGTGTCATGCAGGGCTGCTGTCCTCTGTGGTCCCCCTCGGCCTCTGCCTGGCTGCGTTTCTCACCACGTGCTTCATCTGTTACCCTCTGCCCTTGGCTTTGCATGCTCTCAAAATTTCTCATCTTCTCTCTTTTCTCTTTTCCCCTCCTGTTTTGGTAAAGCTTGATGGGGTGTTAAGCGGTGTGTGTGTGTGTGTGTGTGTGTGTGTGTGTGTGTGTGTGTACCAAAGCTGCCCCCTTTGCATGGCACTGTGCTGCCTCCCACTGTTTCATAGGATCCGCAAGCTCCGTGGGCACATATTCTGTTCCTGTGCTCCTTTTCCACGGCCTCCTGGAGTCAACATTAGCATGCCTGCCAGACCTCGTGCCATGTTCCTTAAATAGCTCATCCCCAAACAGTCCCATCCTGGGCTCCAGCTGCAGTGTACAGCTAAGGCCAGGGCAGAGGGCGCCAGTGTGGGCACCCATGGGCTAGAAGTCTGAGCAGCCGGAGTTTTTGCAGCCGGCAGTGTCAGCACAGTTGACAAACCATCAAGAGTAGAGGGAACGTGAGGTTTGGGGTCGCTGTACTGGACTTCCCATTCATTCCAAAAGACGTACTGAGCACCTGGAATGTGCCAAATTCTGTGCTAGGCATTGGAGGGAGCGATGGTGAACTACAGGGAGAAAGTCTTTCTCTCCTCCAGAGGTTCCGGTCAGCCAGGAGAAGATGGAGCTGGAACCTGGGAGAAGCTGCTTCCTGCTGAGAGTCGCTGGATTGGTGGGGGGATGGGCGCTGGCCATGCCTGGAGCAGAGGGCGAGGGCAGCGTTGAGGACGCTAGGTGGCAGGACCCACCAGGTCGGCCACCCTCAGTGCTCATGGCGGCCATGCTCATTGTTGGGGATCTACCAGGCTACAACACAGAAAACCCCAGAAGGGCAGAGACTGTCAGTGGATCTCCATATCCCCCAAGGAGTCAATGCCCAGAAAACATTGGAGCGAATGAACTTTGTGGAGTTTTGTTTAGGTCTTGAGCTTACTGGGGGGCACTGCAGGAGTTTAAATTGGGGAGTAAGTGCGCCCGGCTGGCTGAGTGGGAAGAGCATGCGACTCTTGACCCCAGGGTTGTGAGTTTGAGCCCCGTGCAGGGTGTAGAGATTACAAAAAACCCCACAAAAATGCTTAGAAACAAATAAATAAACTTTTTAAAGAAAGAAAAGAAAAAAGAAATAAAATAAGGGGGACCTGGGTGGCTCAGTCGGTTAAGCAGCTGACTTCGGCTCAGGTCGTAATCTCACTCTCACAGTTCGTGATTTTGAGCCCTGCACTAGGCTCTCTGCTGTCAGCATGGAGCCTGCTTCAGATCCTCTGTCCCCCTCTCTCTCTCTGCCCCTCCCCTGCTTATTCTCTCTCTCTCAAAAATAAATAAACATTAATTTTTTTAAAAAGAAATAAATAAATTGGGGAGTAGGCCAGTTAGCTTTGTGCATTTGTAAGATCATTTGGCTACCATGGGAAAAGAGGGGAGTGGGCAGTGGAGCCTGGGGAAGGGGAAAGAAAGATGAGGGCAGCATGGGACCCACTTCAGCGGCCCAGTTGACCCGTGAGAGGAGCCCAGGATGGTGGTGGCCAAGAGATCGGAGCTCAGGGAATGGGTATGACCAATATGTAGGAGGTAAGCAGGACTTTGAGACTGGGGGGTGCAGGTGGGGAAGAGGACAGGTGGGGTAGGCAGAATTTCTAAACTGGGCCCCCAGAGAGGTCCTGCCCTAATTCCCAGAATCTGTGGGTCCACCGGGCTGTCACTCCTGTGAGTCTGTGAGTTGGCACCACCTACTGCCCTGGATTATCCAGGCTGGCCCAGCATATAACTGCTGAGTCCCTGAAGGCAGAGCACTTCCCTGGCTGGTGGCAGCTGGGCCCTCGGGGAGATTAGAAACTGCTGTGAAGATGGGAGCCTTGTGCAAGGACTGAACAGCAGCTGCAGGGAGCCTGGAGCGACCTCGGCTGACAGGAAGGGGGACCCCAGTCCTGCAAGTTCCCTGCAGGAACTGAGTCCAGCCAACAACCAGAATGAGCTTGGAAGAGGACCACCCGCCCTGAGTGCCAGGTGAGATCACAGCGGGTAGAGACTTTGACTCAGCCTCCTGTAAAGCACTGAGCAGAGAAGCCCACTGCGCCGTCCTGTGACACTTCTGACACGTGAGAGAAGAAATGGATGCTGTTTTCAGGCACGAGGTAGAAAACAAACACGTGGGGCGCCTGGGTGGCTCACTGGGTTAAGCATCGGACTTCAGCTCGGGTGCTGACAGCTCAGAGCCTGGAGCCTGCTTCGGATTCTGTCTCCCTCGCTCTCTGCCCCTCTCTCTCTCAAAAATAAATAAACATAAAGGAAAAAAGAAAATGAACCTGTCAGGTTTCTGGATACATTCACTGAATTAAAAACCGGTGGAGGGCAGGAAAGGCTGGCAGAGAAAAAGGCCCTGTCAGATTGTTGAGAGGATCAGGAAAGTATTAGAAAGTATTTCTTTCCTTTTTTTTTCCAGTTTATTTATTCTGAGAGAGAGAGAGAGCCCACGCGAGCAGGGGAGGAGCAGAGAGAGAGGGGAAAAAGAGAGAATCCTAAGCAGGCTCTGCACTGTCAGCACAGAGTCTGATGCAGGCCTCGAACTCACAAACCATGAGATCATGACCTGAGTGGAAACTAAGAGTTGGACGCTTAATTGACTGAGCCGCCCAGGCACCCGCATCTTGCTTTTTTCAATAGGAGACTGTTCTTATGAAATTGTTGGTGTTTCTATTAGGATAGATAGCCTTAAATTAGTTTATCAGATGTCTAGGGGAGGTTGGACATCTTCGTGATCTTGAATCTTATTCAGGAACACAAAAGGCCTTTCCATTTCCTCACATGTTTTGTGTGCTCAGCGTTTACTATTTGCTTCATCTTTATCTTGAGTATTAAGTGTATTCCTAGGAGTTTTATGTCCTTTCTTCCTTTATTTTCTGATTATTGTTGGCATACATAAAAGCCACCTTGCTGAATTCTCTTATTGTTTATTTAGAATAATGTTTTGGCTAATCCTCTTTGGGGCTTCCAAGTATATAATCATGTGATCTGCAAATGGTGATGATTTTACCTACTCTTTTCCTCTTTTACACCTCGAATCTCTTTCTCTTGTCCAATTGTGTTAGTTGTTCCTCCAGAAAAGTTAAAGAATAAATGTAAGAAGGTACTG